TGATAATAAAAGTGGCAACTGTAGAAATCAGGTCTGTCACTTCCACCCTGGGTGTTGTTGCTGTTTGTTGTCTATTGACTTTTCTCAATTAATTCTATGAAGTCTTTTGTGCTATTATATTCTCCTAGGATAGCTGTAACAATGTCCCACAAACTAGCTGGCTTAAAGCAACAGAAAGGTTTGTTCTCCAAGTTCTGGAGGACAGAGGTCTGGGGTAAAGCTGCTGGCAGGGCTATGACTCCTCTGAAACCTGTGGGAGAGCCTTTTCCCACCTCACCCACCTGCTGGGGCTGCTTGTCGTCCTTGGTGACCCTTGGCTTATACATCTAGCATTTTTCACCCAGGCTGCTTATCCCCTGGCACACTCGTGTGACCGTGTCTATGCCTCCTCCTGCCTGTGTCGTCCTTGAACACGGACTCTGGCTCAGATGCGTTTGGGGCCTGCCCTCTGCCTGCAGGCCTCACTTCCGTTTGTGACATCAGGAAGGGTGCACAGCCATGTTGCAAGGCTTGGGTCGATTTTGGAATTTTTAGGGTCAGTTATGATCGCTTTTCCAGTGTCATTGTTGCCATGGTGGAGCGTCTTGAGCGCCCTACTCTACTAGTCTTGTTGGTGTCACTTGCTTTCTGTTTTCAAAGCTTTGTGTAGATAGCATTTACACACCATGCAGGTTGCCCGTGCATAGTCATGTTAGTATATTCAGCATAGTTTCAGTGTACTTTCTATTCAGAGTTGTGTGAGCATCACTATAATGAACTTTGGAGCATCTATTACTCCAGAGAGAATCCCTTACTCCTTAGCTTACTCCATTTCCTCTGCCAACCCCAGGCAAGCACTGATTTCCTTCTTATTTTTATAGATTTTCCTTTTCTGGATATTTCATATAGATGGGATCATCCTGTACGTGATCTTTGTGTGTGTGTGTGTGTGTGTGTGTGTGTGACAGAATTGGAAATTGAACCTTGAACCCAGGGCCTCAGTGCTTTTTATTTTGAGATGGGGTCTCAAAAAAAATCACTAAATTGACCAGGCTGGGCTCAAACATGTGGTCCTTCCATCTCAGCCTCCCAGAGTGCTATGATTACAGGCATATGTCACCTCTCCAGGTTACACTTGATCTTTTATGATCTTCTTTCTTCTCAGCTTCGTACTTTTAAGGTTCATCCATGTAGTAGTATGACTCTCCCTCGTTCCTTTTTAGGCCGAATAGCATGCCATTGTACTGCTGCGTCATGATTTATTTATTCCTTTGTCACTTGCTGCATTTTGTTTTTTCTGCTTTCTGACTGTTCTGAACACTGATCCAGTGAACATGTGGGTGCAGTCTTTTGAGTGGACACAAGTGTTCATTTTTCTTAGGGTTCTTCCTAGAAGTGGAATTGGAATGGCTGGGCCCATACTAGCTCCAGGTCTAACATTATGAGGGTGTAGCAGGCTGTTTTGTTTTTTTTTAACTTGAGACAGTGTCTCACTGTGTAGTTTAGGCTGGCCTTGAACTTGTGATCATCCTGCCTCCACTAGGCAGTGTGTCACCACGCCTGGCAGGCTGTTTTTGAAGGCAGTAGCACCATTTACACACTTGCCAACAAGTGTTGGGGGGTTTCCTTATCCTTGCCAAGTCATTGTCTTTTAAAATTCAGTAGTTCCGTCCTAGCGGTAGAGTCCTCCTGGGGGCTGGGATGTTTGTTTTGCTGATGGATAATGGCACTGAACATCTTTGCCTGAGCTTTCTGGCCTCATGTACATTTTTGAGCACTTAAAGTCCTTTGCCTACCTGGAATTCTTTGTCTTTTAAAGCTGACTTACAAGAGTTCTTTATCTTTCATATATATATATATATAT